TGGGGGGCAGGCGGGTGGGGGAAAGAGTCATTCTACCTCCAGGGAATCTGGGTTGAGCTGCAGCAGGAGGCTCGGGGCCCTGGTGGTGGCTTTACTTTTCAGGAGTGTTGGGAAATGTATGACTTTTCCCAGGTAAATACTTCTTTTAGTTATTCTCTCTCTTAAAATCAAATTGGTTAGACAAGTTGCTGGTGATTTCCCCCACATGGAATCTAGCTGCACTAGTGTCTTAAGGTGCTATCTAATTCAAATTAATGCCCATCAATAACACTGCTGGGTACCAACTACTGATGCTGATGAATCAACCTCCAAAAGACTTAACTAGATAATCTACCACACTATGTGCTTTTTCTATCTTGAGTTTTTTGAGTTTAAAGAGCTAGTTCTTTTAAAATGACTTAGGAACTGCTTCTGTTTGGGTTTGCTTCACTCTTCCTCCTCTTCCTCACCCCCTTCTCCTTCCCCTTCCTCCATGGTTTCCACAATGAGCTCTGCAGTGCAAGTGGCTTCTCCAAGGCTGTTGACAGCCTTGCAGGTGTACTTGGCATCATCATCCCCGCAGACATCGCTAATAATGAGAGAGCAGTTCCCGTCTTCATCGTAGTCTATCTGGAAGTGGCGGGACTCCCTGATTGACTGGTCGTCCTTGAACCAGACAACCTCAGGGTCTGGGTATCCTACAGCAAAGGGAGAGAGCACAAATTGCAGAACCTGTCATCAGAAATTATTATCAACATCATCAAGTGGTTCTCAAGCTACCTCTGTTGCTTAAAATGTGATGTTGGCTCTTAGGGTATATTTCCATATTTATGCTGGAGTATGGGCATATGCTGTAAAGACTCATTTCCTAAACCTCAAATAGAATATTCGAAGCTTATTTTTGTTTGAGACAAGGTCAATGTTTGAAGCCTGGGTTAGTTTCCAACTTTCAACCCACCCCCAGCCCCACAGCAGCCTCTTGAGTGCTGAGATTATAGGTGTGTACCATGAATGTGTGAGATTACAGGCGTGCACCATGAATGTATGAGGTTACAGGCATGCACCATGAATGCCAATGACTCTTACAATGCTACAGGTGTGCACCATGAATGTCAGTGACTCTTACAATGCCTCACTGTCAGTTGGATGGAGGGTAATCCAGAAATGTTGTCTAAATTCTAACTGTATAACGAAGGCTAGACATCATGATGAAAATAAAATGTTTGAAAATTAAATGTATAAAAGCTTAACTTCAATTTGAATTAAAGTAAAAAAAAACAGGTACGAGGGATCTTTTTGGAGTTGCATGAGGTGAATTTGTGAAAATAGTTCAGCTGTAAACCTAAAATGGACAAATTTATTATATGCAAATATTAACTTCATGCAGCAAGTAATGGCTATATAAAACATCAGACAGGTGTTGATTGTTTGCCACGTGCGCTCAAAGATGAACTGTAGTCCGCGAGGCTAAGACGTCTTTATTCAGGTAAACACCAGTCCAAAATGCAAGCCAGAACCAGCCCACAGGTAGCAAGCTAGCGTGGCCAGAGAGAAGGGGCTTTCCATGTGAGCCCCGCTCCTTTTGAACCTCCTACTACTTCATCTCAGACTTCCCCTCATTCCGCCCTCACGGGCGGGCATATCCTGGCACACCTGTCCGGGTTACCTGGGGCGGGGCTAGGGTGTCTCCCTACAGACAGGGGAGCTTGTAATACCGCTAAGAAAGAGAAAACCTATCTTAATCTGGCCACAAATAGGTAATTTGCTTGTGTGTCTCTAGGGATGGGTCCCAGCGGTTGGCCTGATGTTCTTATGCACTAGTCATGTCTCTATAAGAATCAGTGTTAAAATATATGGAATAAAAACACATAAATATATGTGTACTATATATTTTTAAATTGTACGTGTACACAACTGTCACCAACTTTATCTATGTGTATTTTTAAATATGTAATATATTACAACCAACTTGTTCCTAAATTTTGTAGAGGTATTTTTAGATGAAAAAAAAAAAAAAAAACCTTGTAGACCCTGTCAGCATAAAAATTATACACAAAGCTCAAGAATTCTGGCATTCTTTTTAAGTGCAATTTTGTTTTCTATCAGAACAGCATCCACATGCTTTAGTTTTGCATCAGGGCTGTAGTCAGAAGTTATGCAAATACCAAGGAGATCATTTCAAAGAGAAAAGCACAATAGATCATAACCATGCCATCATGATACATGTTTTAAAATTCCAAAGGGAACAAACCCCAGGAGATCCAGTGACATCAGAGAAGATCTGAGTGACTGATTCACTCTAGAGCTTTCAGCAGTGTCCCCAATGTCAGGACCTGGGCATCACCACAGGAGGCTCATCTGTTACACCAGCAGCCTGCTGCTTTAAGATGCAGGTCACAGTGAGAGACTAGATAGGCAGGTGACCTCCTGATGACAGGACATGGACACACACACACACACACACACACACACACACACACACAGTTCAAGTTAGGAAGCTGTACTGTGCTTTGACCTTGTATCCTCTCCCCCTTGAAGCTGCAGGAGAAATTAATGGTCCTACTCTGTAATTGGCTTCAAGTATGGAACTCACATACAAAGTCCTGACAAGGCGTGGAACTTCTTACCAGCCCCCACTCCCAAACTTATAAATGCCCAATATCCCCTTTGTTTAGGGGGCTGATTCCTCTGGCACTTTGCCACCCTCACCCCCATGTTGTGCATGGCAGTTCCCTCTCACACTCTTTCACTTTAAGCAGCTCCCTCAAGGTTCTCACAATGCTCCTAATTCCTCTCCCACCTCAAGGCCTGATCATGGCATGGCAGATCAACAAACCCTCTGTCCTAAAAACTCTCATACTAGTCAGGGTGTGTGTGTGTGTGTGTGTGTGTGTGTGTGTGTGTGTGTGTGTTAGATGGGACTAGACCCAGGGCCTCACACATGTCAGGCAACTGCTCTCTCTCCATCTGGGCTATACCCTCAGCCATAAAGTAATTTCATATTAGATCCTTTCCTGAATTGGCTGTTCTGTTTTCTTTGTTATAAAAACATCCACTTTTAAAAAAGAAGATGAAGGAAGATGTTTCTTCCTTCCTAATATAGGGTTACTTTACTCAAAAGGCAGAGAGCCCCACTACTGGAGAGCCACACGAAAGTAAAAGATGTGGCTGGCTGTATCTGCCATGCTGGGCTATGTGACCTTGGGGAGGTTGCTTGGTAAGTTTTCCTGCTTTACTTAGTCAGACCAGGATGGGAGATAACCCTCTACTTCGTTGGCACGTGTGAGCACAACCTTGAAGCCACAAGGCCTGTCTTATCCTGCCTTTCAAAATGTGGTAATCTGTTGAAACAGAAAGGCTTTTACCATCAGCTTTACTAATTTCTTAGGACTCAGGCTATGATCTCCGAGGCCTCTGTTCTTTGCTCACTCACTACTATACTGGCTGCATGACTCATTGGAACAGAGACACCACACGAGGAATAGAACCCAGACTGGAGGCTGGCTCCGTATGTGGGGTCCCAAGTTTCCTTACTGTAAACTGCTGTGCATGCTCTCTCTGGCCCTTACCAACCTACCATTTTTCTCTTTACTCTAAAACCTTTTTAAAGAATTAAAAGGTTTCAACACAGCACTCAGGAGGCAGAGGCAGGTGGAACTCAGTAAGCTGAAGGCCAGCGTGGTCTACAAAGCAAGTTCCAGGACAATCATGGCTACACAGAGAAACCCTGTAAAAAAAAAAAAAAAAAAAAAAAGAAATGAAAAAAAAAAAGAAATAAGAGGTTTACACTGGCCTCACAGAACCCCTAGGACCACTGCAGATGTTGGATATCTTTTAACAAATGAGGGGCCTGCCCATGGCCTACTGACAAGTAGTTAAGCTGACTGACTCCAGTCGTTGGACTTTTTGCCAACCACCCTCGAAGAGCCTCTTATGGGCAACCCACATGCTTCTTAGTGGCTTGCAAAGTTCCTGTTACGTGTGTCCGACAGCTATGGAAGGCCCATGGTGGACAATGTAGGTCAAGTGGCTGGTGTAAATAAGCATGAACTCGGGCTGTGGGAAAGTCACTGACTAGCATTAGTCTTCAGGAGGTTGAGACAGCAGAAACTGGCCCTTTTGGAGCAAAGGGACCCAGTGTCCCTTTGGTTTTGGCTATTCTTATCATTCAAAGCAGTACAGGCCTGGTATCTTGCCCAGGATCCCATGTGTAGCTATCCCCATGTAGAGCAAGGAAAGACCTGGCCACAGCTTACCTTCAATCTTGCAGTCAAATCTAGCAGCACTTCCCTCCACAACTTCCAGATCTCGAATGGTCTTAGAGAAATATGGCTTTGCATGGGGCTTTTCCTCAGCAACAGCCTCAAGGAAAGCCTGGGAGACATCTTCTAGAAGGTCAAGAGGAGACCAGGTCATGTCTTCATTCCTTCATCTCTCCCTGAGCTTAAACAGCTTCTCTCTCTCTCTGATGTGTGTTTCTTATTCTCTCTCTCTCTCTCTCTCTCTCTCTCTCTCTCTCTCTCTCTCTCTCTCTCTCTCAGCAAATAGTGCAGCTTAGGGAAGTGAATCATAGCACAACTTTCTCCCGGGGATGAATTGGCTTGCTGCCAAATGGCTTCTGGCAGCAGAGAGTACTGTGCCCAAAACAGGGAACTGCTCAGCCTCCCCCTTGCCTGATGCTGACACACTGAAAAAGAAAGTCATCTTTAAAAAGGATTTTTGGCTGAACTTCACGGTCTTCAGAATTCGGTGGAGGGTGTGAAAAGGACAGAATCTACTACTTTTCTGATCTTGATACCCTAGGCCTTCCTGTTGTTGTAAGTTCATCACCGGCTTCTGAGAAAGCTGCACAACACCTGTAACTCGCCGGAGTAGTCCAGGATATGGGACAGGTCTAGGGAAAACCCAAGCCTTGGAGGAGCTCCTGTCCCTTCAAGTGCTGCAAACTGTCTCTAGCTACGAGGCTACTCCACAGCAGTCAGCTACTCTACCTTGTGCACAAAACAGTTCTAGACTCAGTTTCCTAAAGGTTGGTTGGTAACAGAAGCTTCCCCACAATTGGCACGAGGAGTGTCTGCCTCGAGAAGAAAAGGACCATCCCTGTGTGCATCTAAAGCACCAAAAGGCCAAGCCCTCATTGTGGATATGACTAGGGTAGCCTCTTGCATGTGGCAGCAAGGGGCCTACTGACCAGTCTGCCCAGGCCATACACATTTCAGCTGCGTAAACACTGTCATGGAATCTGGCCTGTATGAGTTAATTTTTCCTTAAAACAAAAACATAAGGCAGCAGAAATTGGAAGGATATTTTTAAGATGTTATATAACCATATGTGATTTTTTATTTTATTTATTCTTGTCTATCAGTATGCAAAAATCTCATTTTATAGTAAGAAAAAAAAGAAAGCTCTTAATAAAGGCTTCTTAAGTCTTCTACAAAATTAAGCAAAAAGAAGATAGTTGACTAGTTCCATCAAACAATTAATAGCTTTTCCTCTGAAATAGTTAATAAGTAAAGAATAATTGCTAGAGATAGTAGTTGTCAGGGAAACTCCCAAAGTCCTTCTGAACTTACCACTGTAGAGCGTATTAAAAAGCCCAAACTAAAACCCTCGATTCTTAAAATGCTCCTCTGCCCGGAATCCCTCCCCTCTCACAAGCGCCTGGAAAAACCCTGGCCCCCTTACCTTCGGACTCTAGTTTCTCTGCATTGATCGGGCTGGTCGGTGACCCTGTTGAGGATTTCCTGCCACTGAGCCCTGATATCATTGCCATAGAGGACAGTCTTCCAATGGCTCTCACAGCATTGCCCGTTTTCTAGAAAATAGACACGGAGGTTGGACTCAGGTGGTGGCCCTGGTTCCAGTAAGCAAGTTCTGATCAGAGGTGAAGAGCCCAGGCTGGGAGCTGCAGCCGCTGGATGCAGGGCCTTTGGACTGAGCCCAGCCTTGCTCTGCTCACACTGTCAGCGTGTCCGAAGATGTTCGGAGAATGGAATGGGTCCTGGAACTGATGTGTGCGTTAATGTGACTAAACAAGGTCAACAGGAGACAAAAACTCTTTTCATACTGTGCTTCAACTCCCATAAAAGGGATAGTTTATATAAAGCAACTGCAGTCCGAGACAGCTCCAAAGACTTATTGCTGACTGGGCCCAGTGGGGCTGCTCTCATAAAACAATGCCTGCAACAGGGTTTCAGCTGGTCCAGGAGATCGTTACTACAGACCCTGTGGGTCCAGGAAAGTGAAGCAACACTTTATTGACCTTGGGCAAGCCACTTGACCTCTCTAGGCTGCAGTTCCCTTCTGTGTATAAAGAAGGGGTTAGGCCAGGTGGTCTCCATCGTCCCATCTAGTTCTGTTTATGATTGAGATACTTCAGGGATTTGAGGAAACACCCAGGCTGGCCCAGGCACACTTCTATGGTTGCACAGTGGAGCTGTTCCTTCCTAGCATCCACTTGTGTGTCTGAGACAAACATTCAAATGGGCCACTTGGGAAAGGGAGGAATTTCTGCTGAATAGAATCAGGACTTGTCACATAATTTCTATGCATTGTGAAAATTCTATCGAGCATAGGATTTACAGCAAGAGAGGCTTGGTGTACAATGGCACCTCTGTCTCTTATCTTCCAATTCAGTTTCTCAGCCTTTCCCCAAGGTCAGCGGTGATGGCCAAGATAACCCAAAGCATCTTCCTTCAGTAACTAGAGACATGCACCCACGGAGCCAACTTTACCCCAGACTGGGCTCCTTGTCTGAGCAAAAAGGAAAACAGCCTCCTCCTCATAGGCAAATGCCTTGCCTTCCCTCAGTGGATCTCACACTGTGCTAGCCAAACCACTTTCTTCCCAAATTAATTTTACATACTCATGGATTTCAGGGAAACGTCACAATTTTGACTATCTGGAAAGCCAATGTTTTCAATAAAAGACTATTTCAAAAGTGAATTTCAAAATGTTGAGGAATTATGCAAAAGTGTGTGTATGACTGTGTGTGTGTGCATGTGCCTGCATATGTGTGTTAAGCAGAGACCTGCTGTTGCAATCATAACTGCTTGTCCATCCTGCACTCTGCCCTCCTTGTTGCAACCTATTTTTGTGCACTTTGGACGAACATTCAAACTGGCCCTGACATTGATCTCTTCCTGCACACAGCACTATGGAGTGTGGGCACACCCCTGGTTTTCTGCTACCACAGTGAAGGGCAGAGGTTCTGGACAGAACCTGGTGGGGCATTCCCAGGTAGGGTGAAGAGAGAAGGTGGTGACCCCTCAGAGTGAGAACATTCGGCAGCCTTCAGGCTCCCCTGGTGGCCTGTCTGACTGGTTGCTTGCTTTGCCAGTTGCGGTGTGGGAAGATTCACCTTTTTCCATGGGGATCTACCTTGTCCTGGGAACTATTAGGTGGCATCCATCTTAGTAGAGTCAAGATCTTAGCAGCTCATTTCCTAATCAGCTGGTCCTCCCCTCTGAGCTGGCTAGCCCCTTTCCAACACATACTGGTTTGTTCTGGCCTCAGAGTCTAACCCAGAGAAGTCCTTCCCAACAAGGTCAGCTCTCTGACCACTCATTACTCTGTGACCTTGTCCAAGTTAGTTCTCCCTTCTCTGAGCCTTGGCATCTGGATCTTAAATAGAATCCAGAAAATTTTAATCTCCTTGCAGCTCTAGTTTCCCCAAAGGATTGTCAATTCCTAATCAGGAATGTGTAGCAGCACCCCCCAACCCACATTCTGTTTTGAGCCCTTGGGGCTCCCTAATTCCAGACACATAAAGTGGGGTTGATTAGGACTGTATTCACTGCATACTGTGGACAGATAATGTCTTTCTTCTTTCTTGGTTTTATTTTGTAACTGAATTACTAATACAAACTTATTAGAATGAGGCAAACAAAAATTCCAGTATTTCAGAAGGAGTTGCAAATGCATTAGGAGGAGACATTGTCATGTGGAGAAACTTCCAGCAGACATAGATTTCATGCAGTTTCTTAAGTGGGGATATTTGCAAGTGCTTAATAACAAAAGAAAATTTTAATCGAGATCAGAATTAATTCTTTGTAAACTGCTTTCTGTAGAACTGTAGTAGGGAGTTGTCAGAACTGCCCAGTCTAGTTGCATGACTCTGAGCTGAAAACTTATTACTGCTTTACAGAGACCTTTGGAAATTCTGGAACAAAAATCAATAGATCCAAGTTTCAGTTCTTGAGCCTGTTTTGCAAAAGCCTCCCTCTTTGTTGGAGGACAAGGTTGGCTAAGGCTGTGTTCCTGGCAGGCAATGTCTGCCCAGGCCTCCAGAATATAGTCCCAATTGTCCAGCTCTTGGACAGCCAGCTAGGATGACCAGGACTATTGACCCAAGACTGTTCAGCTCTCAGGACTGGGTCTTTCAGTGATAACAGCTGACCAATGCCTGGCAAGTTTAGGCAAGCTGATCATCCAAGTACCAGTCTGCACACAGTGTTAGAGCAGCCTCAGGATGACAGGGCCCCCAACAAGTGTGTGATGGCCATGAGCAGTCTGCATTTATATATCTATATTAAAATATAGAGCAGACTCTAATATTTTATCTCCTGTTATTTTTATACACATTGCTGGGGTCTCTGCAGTTTTTAGAAGATAAATGCAGCTAACTTTAACTTCCACTATTCTTTCTACTGTGGTTGCAGAATATTTGTTTAACTATGCAAATATATGTTGCATTTGTTTAACTATGAAAAGATGCGTTGTTGTTTTACCTTGTCTGCCTAAGACAACTGACTGGTCTAATAAAAAGCTGAATGGCTAATAGCAAGGGAGGAGGTACAGGTGGAACTTGGGAGGGAGAGTAAGTAGGAGGAGGAATTTAGGCTGGGGAAGAAAGAAAAGGAAACAAGAGGGAGACACCAGGAGCCATCCAGACACGAGGAAGCAGGAAAGTAGGACACACAGAATGAAAGAACGCTAAAAAGTCCTGAGGCAAAATGTAGATGAATATAAACAGGTAAAGTTAAAAGGGCTAGTGGGACAAATCTAAGCAAAGGCTGAGCATTCACAATTAATAATAAGTCTCCATGTCTTTATTTGGGAGCTGGTGGTGGCTCAAAGAAAAATTGCAACTACACACTACCCCTCCCACACCCAGTCTTTTACATCTAGTTTTCAGACAGAAGTCCTTGTGCCCTGCCCAACCCACCCCAATGGCTACACTTCACACAATTGTCTTTCAGTATGAATTGCAAATATGCCTTCTTTCAGAATAACTTTACCCCAAGATCAGTAATACGATTAGACACCTGTGCCCCACCCCCAGCCTTGCACGGAGGGATTTGTTACCAGGTTAGCTCCCTGTTTTGGAGTCTTTCATTAGAACAGAATAGTCAGAGGTTCCTTCTGGAGTTAGCATGGCCACGTGTGCTCCCTGCTGTCTCTCCCTGTTTAGCCCACTCCTGCTCCCGCCTGTCCTGCTGAACATCCCCCTGGCTACTCAGAGACAGAGCACCCTATCTCTGGGGGAGCCAAGGTTCTGGAACTGGAGTTTAAATGTAGAAAATATTTCCCTAAGGAAGCAACTGAACAGCAGGTCAACACAGCTGAACTGTTCCCAGTGAAATTACACCCCGGGGCATTCATGTTGAGTGAAATTTTTACGGACTAATTTGTGTGCAATTTTGCAGAAAAGTCATTTCCAAATGTTTTACTTAAATTAAAATAGAGAAATATGGTTCTTTTTCTGAATTTGACCTCCACCCTTCCAGAAGATCCTATGGCCAGTAAAGAGCAAATCCAGCAATTAGGAGATGAGCTGTGGAGTGTGTGTCTCCAGCGGCAGAGACAGAGCCACTCTTTCTCCCATTCTCTCTCATCCACAGCTCCTCTCTGTGCCCACACCTTGGTCCTCACACCCTCCTGGCTTGGAGCCACTTGCAGATATTCTGGGGTGACAACGCTGCCTCATGCAATCCAGATCCAGTTAGACTTGCTTCTCTGAAGACTGTCTTTCCTTTCCCAAGAATCCCCTGACATCTGACAGCCAGAGGATCATCAACAAAGACAACTTTTATTTTGTAGATACCTTTTAAAAAATTAAGGATACTTCCTACTCTGACCTGGAAGGCCCCAGGAGGTGAGTGAGGCAGGTGTTCCAACCTGTCAGCCCAGTCCCTCCAACCTCCTGTAGCAGGGCTCTGGCTGCCATGTGCTCAGGACACCAGCCTCTTAAGCTCTGTGCCCGCAGGCCCTTGTGGTCTTTCCTCATTTCTTAACTCTTGTGTGAAACTGGGTTTTCTAAGGGAACTGTGGTTTAGTCACCCTGAGTGTTAGTGACCACTGTTCCATGAACCCCCTTTTCCCGATCACTTGCTCCTGGCCCTGAATATCCTGTTGAAGGCTCAGTCATTTATGTCCAGCCCTAGGTAGTTTCAAGGTGGGCCCAGTTTCCACCTGCCATTTCTTCCACCCATGCTGTTGCTCCCTTCCCTCTGGGATTTAAGTATGATTTCTACTAAATTCCTAGCTCCTGCCCCTGAAGGCTTTTGGTACAATCACGTCAAACTCAGTGGAATGGACCCCTCTCCATCCACCCTCACATATATGGTCATGGAGCTATGTTGATCATTTATAATTCCTGCTGTGTTTGTGTTTTTTCATGTTGCATTTGCTTTGCTTTCCCACTGCACTATACATTCCTTGGGTATGGATAGCATGTCCTCTTCTGAAGTCCAGGAGTTTTACAATTCCAACTGTGATAAAAGAAAGATTCAAACAGATGGCGAAGGTGCTAAGTGCTCTATTGTTTGGATGACAATATTGCTACTTTGTTACTAGAGGCAGTTCTGTTATTATTAATGCTGTGTACGTTGTAGCCAGGCTCTAGGCTTGATTCCTGGTTTTTCCACTGAGCCTCATGTTCCCAGATGACTACTCTCATCTACTCTCTTCCTTGGTCTGTCTGTAAAGTGGGGACATTAATCCTACAATGATAAAATGTAAAAGCAATGGACAGATGTAACATTTAAAACTTGTTAACTTGGCAGGAGATCAGTCTCTGTGTACACTTCAGAGGGCTCTCTAAATTTGGTTTGCCCCGGGACATGCGTATAAGGGATTATCTAGATTAGGTTAATTGTGATATCAGAATCCACTTACTGTGGGCAAAACCATTGCAGGCTTACACTGAATAAAAAGAAAGCAAGCTGACTGTTCACTGATCTATTTCATGGTTGCAGATACAACATGACCAGTGGCCCAATCTCCTGACACTGTGACTTTACCACCATAAAGCTTTCTCCCTTAAAGATGCTTTATCATAGTAAAAGGAAAAGAAACTAACACATACAGAAATCTTTTGGATAAACTCAGATCCATGGCCAGCCCTCCATACATATCAGCTACTGACGGCACTGCAGAATGCCACTGTGTTCCAGGTACTGTCCTAAAGACCTTCAAATTTTGTTTCATAATTCTCCACAATTTCTGGTGTCAGTGTTATCCCCACTTGCTTGATAAGAGCATGAATCCATAGCCAAGTTAACTACCTTGCCTAAAGTTACCACTGTTTCCTCTTTGGAACATGTGCTCTCCCTCCCCTTCTCACAAGGAAACATGTGACCATCATGCCACCCTTCTCTAGGACTGCTGGATACTTTTCAGGTCATGCTGCTCATCCCCAGCCAGGAAGACTGAGCCATTGGCGGTTTAACCAAGGGGGCATAGGTCATTTCAGAAACAAATACAAACTTTCTTGGAATGAAGCCAGGGTCAACTGGACCCGAATAAAGCTAATCTGAAGAGCTGTACCCTGTTCCCACTGAGCCCACATTACCTGCCACTTCCTTCTTGCCATGTACTTCTTCATCCGGTCCTTGGACAGCTTCTTGGCCTCCATGTTCTTGGTGTCTTTCATCAGCCATGGGTGCTGAAGGCACTGGGTGCAGTCCAGACGGTTTCTGATGGAGGCAGAGACCAGAGGAATTCTGAGCAGGAGGGGACCTCAGAGATGATAAATGGGAAGCCATGTGTCCCCGGTTACACAGGGCACAGCCCAGGGTTGCCTGTTCCCAGCTCAAACACAATAGTCAGGGGCACTGTGAGTGTGGCTCTTTCTCCCCTTGTTCTGGATTGCACTGACTGGACTCAGCCTAACCACCAGCAGATTCTCAACCTTCCGGGGTCCAAAAGGGTCAGAGTTACAACTCTGACCTAAACATAAAAGAAAAGTGGCTAGAAAGAAGCACAGCTCAATTCGGGGATCTTTAGATAAAGGGATCTTGATTTTTTTTTTTTTTTTTGTGACATGGTTTCTCTGTGGCTTTGGAGGCTGTCCTGGAACTCACTCTGTAGACCAGACTGGGCTGGAACTCACAGAGATCCGCCTACCTCTGCCTCCCGAGTGCTGGGATTAAAGGTGTGCGCCACCACCGCCCGGCAGGATCTTGATGTTTTAAGTTGACTTATAGTCTTCAAATGTGTAACTTTTTTTTTTTTTACAGACATTTACAAAAACAGTGACTGATAGACAATGGTCTTTGGAAGGTATGCTGGGTTTAGGGATTTAAAAGAATGTTTTACTATTTGATGAAGTGTGGTCTCTGATGGGTCCATTTGATAAGCACAGAGGAGGACAACACAGTCTGTTGCTAGATCATCTTCAGGGCAGATGAGAAAATGAGTTGGACACACAATGCCTCATTTATCACATCTCCTATGAATGAAGTTCGCTTTACCAAAGCCATCCTTGGGCCAGTGTGAGCAGAAGTGAGCTATCTACCTTGGAAGTAGGAACTGTTGTCACCTTGAAAGGGAATCAAGACTCCCACGACATCCAGATACTTTTTGGGTCATGCTAACTTCTGACACAACCATTGTGGCCACTAAGAGGCTGGGGCTGCATTGTGGATGTTACTTGGGGAGGCTGAATCTGGAAGGCTCAAGAGGATTCAGGGAGAGGTGAGCATTAGGAGATTAGGCACAGTCATCTAAGAGTCTCCAGCAGACACCTATAGCAACCACTCTCTCCTGTTCCTAGGGTAGGAGGGTACCAGTTACAGACCTGGGAGCCGCAGACCAGGTGGCCAGGTCAGGTTACCTACAATTCTGAACCTCTTGCCTACCCCCTGGAGGTGGCTGTCCCTCTCCTGCTCCTGTCTCGTCACCTATTGGTATGACCATATGTCATACACCACCCTTCTTGGTATGGCCATAGTTATGACTATCTCCTATTGCCAATCCCAGTCAGAGCTGTGGGTAGAGCAGAGGTCCTGGAAACAGGTTCTGCCTCTGGAAACTAATTTACAGAATAGGCTGACACCTGATACCCTAGAGCTCCCTGTCCCAACAGCTCTCCTGCGGAGCACAGAGCCTCCCAAGCAGAGTCTCTTCCCTTCTGGCTTTGATTTAGCTGACTCCACTCACCTGGAGAGATAAACCAACAAGCTGTGGAACCTCAGCCCACCTCTTCTACCCAGCCTCACTCCAGCTATGATAAAAGCTTTATGATTCCTCTTTCTTCACTGCTTGCCATCATAGGCAGAGGCACCCCAGCATCCACTGGTCACCAATTTGTTCTATATGAGAAAGAACTGGCTCATATTGAAGGAATAATTTTGATGGGAATAAAACACCAAACCAGAATAGTCTGGGGATATAAAGAGGACCCTCCAAGGGGTTTTGGCTGTCTCTGTTATCTATGTTTGTAAATTAAACAGGCACTCCCCCATCCCTCCCCGTGAGCTCTGATGAGGGCCTGTGGGGTCTGCAGGACTGTGAGGGCCACAGACAGACAGACAATAAAAGACTGAGACGCTGTCTTTTCCTTGAGACCCTTGTTCAGGAGTCACCATTCCAGTGATGTATCTGAGCTTCTAAAGTGGGCGGGGCATCTGGCACCAGGAAACAGGGACCACTCCACACAACCACTGACGGGGGTCCCTCAGTGGCCACTCTTTCCTCTTCAGGGAACACGGGACTGGTGTGGAGCTGGGAAGAGGGAACTTCACAGATAAAGGAAGGCCCTGCCTCCCAGAACCAGCCCAGAGACTGACAAGACCCCGATCCCAGCTCATTACTTCATATCTTTCTTCAGCAAGTTACTGATGAAGTCTTTGGCATCGTCGGAGATCTCATCGAACGCCTCATCGTCAAAGTCCCAGGTGGCTGAAGTGACATTGGCTAAGGTCTCATTATCATTGTCACCCATGAAGGGGGACAGTCCGCTGACCCTGGGGGAGAAGAGCAGAAGAACAGGAGTGGAGTTGAGCTGGGAGGGATGGGGGGGGGCAGGACTCCCCAAGTGAGTGCTGCTGAGGTCTTAGGCGAGGGCACTCTGAAGCACTCTGAAGCACACACTGTATGTACGGCTCTTGTGCCTGCCTGCCTTGCCTCTACCTCCAAGAAGAAGTCCATATGGCCCCCGAGTCTCTTCTCAGCCACTCCCTGCACTCCCTAAGTGACCCCTAGGATCCCCAGCCTCAACCACCTGTGAGGCTGAGGTGAAAGACTTGATTAATCTACCGACTTGCACAAATCAGAGCAGAGAAACCCCTTCATCCTCCTCTTGCATCCCAAACCTCAGGCCAGCCTTCACCCCTCATAGGCCTTCACTGAGTCCCTTCCTCCCACCTAGTCCTTAGTCTCCTTTTTATACCTCCACATGGGGAGGGGGCACCATCTCGGGATGGCTCATCAAATGTGAGCCAATAAACACGAGGGCTTGTAATCAGCAAGGAGGCACAGGCTCCCTGAGGCGTTCGTTTATGTTCCCCTGGAAAGTCCATCCACAGGGTGTGTGGCAGAGGACAGAGTGCAGCCTCTGCATTAGCTGAGTGACCTTGAGCACTTGCCCTACCCTCTGTACCACTTTCTCTTCATGCTCTAAATAGTCTCTCACTTATCTACACAATCCCTGCACCCTCCTCATCAGCAGCAGGCATTGAGCACACTTTACCACCTGCAGTGTAAAGATCTGAAATAGATTAACTCATTTAATCTTAACACCATCCCAGAACACAGGTGATTTTCACTTCTTCGTTATATAGAGATGGCAAGTGAGGCACTGGCACAGAATTTGTTAGGTAACCTGCCCAAAGAGTCCCAGACATTGAGATGTGAGCCCAGGAGGCCGGATCCTCAGGCCGACCCTTCACTGCTACTGCATCTCATATTTCTGTGCAGATTAAGAAAGCTGTATGCATTGCACTTGTGCACGGAACAGTCAGTAGTTAGGGTTCATCTGGCACCATGTATATCATACAATTCCTAGAGATAACCTGTACTATCTCCCAGGAGCTCAAGCCAAACACAGTCTGGAGGGCAGTGTTCTCAAAGTCAGATAGAACAGACTGAAGCTCACCATCCTCACTTGTGACCTCCATGTACCTCGTCTTCATGCCAGCAAACCCCTCGCCTTGCATATCAAACCAAGGGCTGACTTTGTGGGTATACGACATGCACAGCTGCCTGGAGTCCCACCCTGAGATGGACCCCAGGCCTAGCATTAATGCTCTACTATGACCATCTTTAAATTGTTAATTATGCTTCAACGAATAGCCCTACTCCTTCAGTTTGAAAATGATATTCTTAGTCCTTTCTTGACCCTGCTGAATTCCATGAAATATAGCCAGGGCCCCCTTAAGTCAGGGTTTAATGAACATCCTTCTCCCAAATCCTTATTAATCCATCATCATAAACCACAACATGCTGGCAGCTTCTGGAGCTGTTCAGCATTCGAAAGGCCTCAGCTTATGAAATCTGCTTGTACCCGAACACTGTGTCTGAACAACACCCACTGGAAACACTGGGAGAAGGCTGGCCACAGGAGGAACCCTCTGCTGAATGCAAGTACAAAGAATTTAGAATTGTTGAGTATTTTCTCACTCTAATTAAGATACTTGTGCTTTTGAGTATTAACACACCATCATACAGCACTCCCTCTGGAGACCAGGCTGGCCTGGAACTCACAGAGATCCGCCCGTCTCTGCCTCCAGAGTGCTGGGATTAAAGGCGTGTGCCACCAAGGCCTGGCTTAAACATGGCTTTTCTTAAGGCAAGATGCTGACTTAAGCCCATGAGGGCAATATGAATCATTTTTGGTCACATGCCTATGAGGGCCTGGTAGAAAGTTACCAGTCTTTGAATTCGCACTGTTACATGCTACTCCATCTTGACACCACAGTGACTGGGCTGGGTTTCTGAGGGACCTTTCAGTTCCCTGACCTCTGTGATGTGTGTGGCCTAAGCGAGCCCCACCAAGATGCAGCCTGTCTTTGCTTGTGGTCCTGCTTCTGCTCACCTTTACATTTTCTATTTGAAGGAAGAAAGGGCTAAGTCCTGCAATGCTCCAACAGACAGCAGGAAAAGCAAACAGTCGTGCTGAGGAATGCCAAAAGGGCCCCTTCTGCACGTCTCCTTTCCTAATTAGGACTTGGAATCCTGCATGATAGGTCTTAATCACTGTCCACGTCGAAGGCACGGGGAGCCCCAGCCTCTGGCCTTGGCACTGTTCCTCCCTGGCAGCACACCCATCTAAAACACTCTGTTCTGCCCAGTTCTCCTCTTGCCTGGGTTCCTCTTGAATTAGAAACTTACAATATTGGTACACATAACATGATGGCCAAGGTAGAGTTTGGATATTTTGGTAATGCTGTGTTTCTGGTTATATTTCTGCTTCAGTATATAGTACAGTGCATGCTGGCCTGGGATTCATGATCCCCCTGCTTCTGCTTCCCAGGTGCTGGGATTAAAGGTGTTCACATCCATGCTTAGTTTGGGTTTCATTTTTTTTTTTTCTGTTTTGGACTTTATCTTGCTAGAATTTACAAAAAGGGTCATGTGTCTTTTTTATCTTAGAAAAAAGCCTATCAACCAGTTAGCAAATACACTAAGGCTGTGTGACGCCCTATCCACCGTGTTATCTAGTTTTAAATCAAAGGACTTATCCAATTTTCATAAAACCGCTATCTGTCTGGGCAAGTTCTCAGATTCTTGGCTTCCCTCTCAAGCATGTGGATTCTTGACATTCGTATTCTCACATCTGAATCACAGACACTTCAAGGTGTTCTACTTTCTTAATACCTTTGCAGTACTGGGCATTAAACTTAAGGCTGAAAGCATGCTCAACTGGCCTTATGTCCCTGCAATAGACCCCCAAGATGCTTAATTCTTATTTGTTTTATGTATATGAGTGCCCAAATGTATGTCTGTGAACCACATGTGCCCCATACCTGCGGAGGCTAGGAGAGGGTGTCAGAACCCCTGGAATTGGAATTACAGAGAACCGTGAGCTGCCATGTAGGTGCTGGGAACTGAACCTGGATCCTTTGAAAGCACAGCAAGTGCTTTTAACTGCTGAGCCAACTCTCTGGCCCCCTAATTGTTTATTTGTTTTTTTTTTATTTTTCAAAACAAGGTTTCTCTGTGTAGCCCTGGCTGTCTTAGAACTCATTCTGTAGACCAGGCTGGCCTCAAACTCAGAGGTCTGCCTGCTTCTGCTTCCCGAGTGCTGGGGTTAATGCCACCATGTCTGGCATTGCTTAATTCTTAATCTCCCACAGCAGAGCTTCATCATCGGCTCTCAGACTGAAGCCTGCTCTTCTCTCAGGGTGGAATATCAGGACAGCAGAGAGCATGGGGATGTCTCTTGGACTTCACTGGCTCCATTACTGTCTTTAATTGAACAGATATGATCTGGCTAAAGGAGTGGCTAGTTAAGGACCACATATCTGCTAGTGGAACTACTGTGTGCTTTCTAAAGGTTTAGGCTTTATCCCATTTTCACCTTAAGAATCCCCAGTGGACAATTTGAAACAGCTGAGTAGATTCATGGGAAGAACCAAGGGCTAACCTGGGGGGTTTAGTCATATTTTCCAGAGTCAGAGTTTTGGGGTGGCAAAAGTTGAAGGTAGTGACTGGGCTTGTCAAGGGAGCAAAGACACAGGGAATCCTGGGCTCTGCAGAGGGAAGGGCAGCTCAATTCCAGGAAGGGCAGACAGAGGCTACAACCACAGTCTCCGTTCTCGGCATTTCTCTGGTTTATATCCAGTGTTAGAGGAATGGCCCCTGGCACTTTGGAGTTGGGAGGATGAGGCAACAAGAAAAGGGTACTGGGAACGGCTGCCTTTTCTCTGGGGTGGGAAAGGGAGGGCAGGAATGGTGGAGTATGGATGAGGCAGGGCTCAGTCAAGAAGGGCTCCCAGGTGTAAGGGAACACCCAATGCTCAGGAAACTGGGAGGGAGCAGCTGGCAGGGGGGAAAGAGGTCTCTGGAAAGCTGGTTTATGATTCCCCTCCATGAGTGTGGCCTGGAGCTCCTCATACTCTCTTCCTGTGCATTCAAACTACCTTCACAAGGAGATCCAAGGAACCCCTCCCCTCAGAATCACCTTGGAGCTGCCATTGTTCCTATGCAAGGACAGGGACCACCCTATTTTTCCAGGTGCTCAGCCCCTACTGGTGCTATGGCTTAGCCTGGTCCCAATACTTGCAGCACTGCCTGCTGCAGGAGGCCTCCCCTGGGACTGCGGGATTTTGGAGGAATCCAAATTCCCACAATGAAGCAGGATTCCCCTGCACTGGTGTGGTTTGATGGTACTGTCTGTAGATCAGGAGGTACTGACCCAACAGGTGTTGAACATTTAAAAACACACTGTTACCTGGCCAATGATATCCAGTTGTGTTCACTGGTCCTAGAAAGGGAGTCAGGAGGACTTAGACAACCCACTCTAAAAAGAGGGATGAGGCAAGGCATAAAATGCTACAGGGCACTTGAGAGCCTCTTCCAGCTGCTTCCAGCAGCAGCCCCAGTTTTACACTGCAGGGGCTTAAGGGAAGCAATTTGTCTGGCCCAAACTTTTGTTTTTAGCATCATGTGCTCTTCTGAGAGCTCCCTAGTTTTAGAGGGGAACTCTTAGATTTGGACCAGCCCTTAAGGACCAGTCCAGAAAACAGGTCAGCCATCAGGACACTGAGCTGGGGTTGAGCCTACTTGCTCCCTGCCTCCCATCCCTTTCTTTACTCCTGACACCAGGCCGGTTCCTCTACATCAAGGTTATCTTCCCCTGTTTAAAAAAAATTGTCAGGCCTGGCGTTGGTGGCACATGCCTTTAATTCCAACACTCGGGAGGCAGATGCAGGCAGATCTCTTTGAGTTCTAGACCAGCCTGGTCTACAGACTGAGTTCCAGGACAGGCTCCAAAATAATACAGAGAAACCCTGTCTCAAGAAACAAAACAAAACAAAACAAAATTGTCCTTATTTCTTAATCCTCACTTTAAAAGCAATTCTGACGAGTAAGCCAAGTTCCCGTTTACATTTCCAATGGAAATGCACAGCTATTCTCTCTAAAAACACATGTACCCAAAGGCTGTAACACTACCAACTGGACACTACCTAAGGCCTTGTCATTCACTGGATTATATTCACACAAAGTCATGCTGCACAGCTTAGATGGTAATGAGCCATCCATAGCTGTGTGTAACAGTGTGCATTGGTCTCATGGCATTAAGTAAAAGAAGCCAATCACTTCCTTCTGGATCATTTCATGAAATCCAAGAACAGACAGAACTGACCCCTAACTTCAGCAAAAAAAGATTAAGTTGGTCCCTGGGACAATAAGCATGAGAGGACCGAGGTCTGCAGGATCCTGGTTGTTTGGTTCTTTGATCCAGTGTGAGACACAGGGATGTGTTCATTGTCAAAACCTACCAAGCCGTCCAGTTACCACTGCAGCAACTCCTCGTTTGTCTGGGACTATCCCCATTTTTATGCTCAAAGTCCTGTACCCTAGGAAACTATTAGTTCTGGGCAAAATGGAACACTTGGTTGCCTGCCCAGATCATGGTAAGTGGCCAACCACGTAGCTTCCATGGTCCCAGTCACTTTGATGTCCAACACAATCAAAACCTTTCCATGACTCACTCTTCGTTTGTGCTGAGATCAGACCTTCTCTTGTAAAAACCAGAGGATCAGATGATCCCCATGCCACAGTAAGCGGCGGCCTCCTGCAGCAGGCAGTTCTGCCAGTACTGAGACCAAGCTAAGCCATAGCACCAGCAGGGTCTGACCAGAGCAAGCTCACCAAATACGGCTTCTGCCGGGCCCAGTGTTTCACTAGAGCACAGAGGCCACAGTGAACTCTGGTTGGCCCACTAGCCCTAGAAGAGACAAGCTGAGCTACTAGCCTCTGTTCTGCACTTAACCGGGAATAGGAAAAAAACAAAAAACAAAACAAAATAAAACAACCCAGCACCTGGTACAGTGTGCTCAGTCACTAGCACCTCCTCCCACAGGGCCCAGGGAGAGGCAGAGACTGCATGGCCTGGAAGAAGGTGACTTTAGGCAGGGGAGGCCGTGACTCTCTGTGGTGGAAGTGCACAGGTCTGAGTGAAGGAGGCTGTCCTTACAGGCCACCGTGACAGTAAAACTCTGAGGATGTGACAAGCCTCCCACCACACCAAAGCTTTTCTAACAGTGCTTCCTAAATCTATTGGGCATTAAGAGTTACCGTTTGGGGGCTGGAGACCCCAAATCCTCAAATGTCTTAGAAAGCATTCTTTGTGATCTTCCTTGAATTAAAATAAATTTAAATTGGTGTGTGTGTGTGTGTGTGTGTGTGTGTGTGTGTGTGTGTGTGAGAGAGAGAGAGAGAGAGCGAGAGAG